TTAAATTTCCCCTTTTTTTTTTTCCGGCCCCTCCCCCCCCCCCCCCATTAGGCTGTGGAGGCCAGCAGGCGGGAGTTGCCACTGCCAAGACACTGGCCTTTCTCCAGCCATTTCTTGGCCTTTTAAATTTTGGGTCAGGGCTTGGGGCCTAGTCAGTTACTGAAGGCCCCTGTCAGAGAAACTAGTGCGGTGATGGCTTGCAGTTCAGAGAGAGCAGGGGTGAGAGGGCCACAGGTGCAGATGAGATCATGGAAGCTTCAAGACTGAGCCCCAGAGGGAGTTTGGCAATCCCATTCCCTCCGGTTTGCACAAGGAACCCTTTAGGGGGGGGCGTGAGAGCTTGCTGGGACTGTGGGCACAGGTGAGCTGCAGAAGGAGGCACTCACAGGTCTCAGCAACACTCCTGATTGGCCAAACTGGATCAGGCCAGCTGAGGGCCATTTGGCATAAAGCAAGCCCATTCTTCTGATTTTGTACCTTTTGACTAGTGTGAGTTTCGCTTGGCCAGAATTCCTGCATCTTGGATTTTGGACTCTGAAACTTTACTTGGACTCTGTGCTTCAGTCTGGTCAAGTAACATCTGGGTCAGAGGACCAAAAAGCCTGTGTATTTTAGGTTAGCTATTTAGACTTTATTGTTTCCTTTCCTGCCTTGCAGTGCTCTTATATTTGTACACTTTTTGCACATTTCTTTAATAAACCTTATTAACCCACTTCTTCTCAAGTGCTTTTTTGGATCTGTTTATTACTGGCTGCTCTTTGTGAGCCAATATGTGCCTGACCCGGGGAATAGTGTTATATTATGTATGTTATGTTTACTATTATGTTATATTAAAAGTTACAAGCCAGCAAGTGATAACAGCCCTCAGCCTGAGAGAGCTTTGCGCCAAAGTGAAATTCTGAGCCGCACACAACCAGGCACAGCGAGAATCCCGCTGGGTCCGCCCAGCCCGCCCTCTAGTTTCCAAACTCTGGACAGCCAGATGTCTCCAGCTGGGGAGGGGGGGTGCACTTCCACATATTAAGCGGGATGCCAGAAGTTTCTGCCAGGCTGACCAAATCCCAGTTCGCTCTTAGGTCCCGACACTTAATTGATTGAATACCCTTCATTGTTTACATTTATGTTTTCACTGGACTGAATCTCCGGAGCAGCCAAGAAGAATCTCGAGCAGCCATTCCGCATCCAGATCCACAGAGATCCCTTACCTCCTTCTCTTGGGCCGCCTCCTGCAGAGGATCTCTGGGCTCCTGGGACCTGCCGCAGACCGCGCAGAGGACCTCCAGGGGCTCCCCGTGCTTCTTCTCGCAGGCTCCCCCCTTCCCACCGGCCTCTTTCCCCTCCTGCTGAGCGAATCTCTTGGTTATGTCCACAAAGTTGGCCAACTGCGGGTTGGGGCGGAGGCTCCCCTCCTGCGCCCTTCCCCTGCACTGGGTGCAGGAAGGCTCGGCGGCTCCCGACTTCTCGCAGCTGCGGGTCAGGCAGGCCCGGCAGAAGTTGTGGCCGCACTCGGCGATGGCCACCGGGTCCTTGAAATAGTCTAGGCAGATGGAGCAGGAGGCCTCCTCGCAGAGCTCCTTTAGGAGACCCCCCGCCGCCATGGCTGCCTCCACAAAGGCGGGAGAGGGAGAGAAGCAGAGAGTCGGTTTCGTTTCCCCGCTTCCCGAAAGCAGCGAGGGGGGCGTCTCCCTTCCTGCAACTTGACTATCCGCCGGCGCCCAATCAACCGCCGGGAAAAGGGCCGGGGAGGAAGACGGACCTTGGCGGGGAAAGGCCTCTTTTGCGCTGGGGGGGGGGGAGGGGGGGTGCGGGGGTTTCCGGCGCCCCCCCCCCCCCAAGCATCCTGGAAAGGTTCCCCCAAAGGCAAGGAAATCGCTCAGGGAACCTTGGAAGGCAGCGGAGGGGCGCAGCAGAGCAGGCTTACCGAGGGGACTAACCACATCCACATCCACATGCCCCTTTCCCGAATGAAAGCCAGTTTCTCTCATCTCCCCCCCACACACCCCTTCTTACTGGCGGGGTGGGAGTGGCAGAAAGCCTCCAAACAAGTCAAGAAGTTCCAGCCCTTTGGATGCGAGTCCGCCTCTCTGCCTTAGGCCTTTCCCACTACCGCGACACACGCGTGATCTCTGCAAACCCAGATCTGGAGGCAGATTCCAGGTCCGCAGGAGCGGGCGGAACGGACTGCGCCACTGCAGACACTGGGAGGAGGGGGGGAGTTGAGCCTGGGTGCGTGAATAGGGGGATCGGAACCTACTTGGGGTTGCTCTCTGGTGTTTGTTACCTGGCAAGAAGTCCCAGTTTATTCCTTCAGGAGTGGAAGAGCTTTTCCCGGACGATTTGCAGGTCAGGCTGCTGAGGATCTCAGGGCGTCCCGGTAGTTTTCAATACTTTCCTGTCTCAACCTTTCTTACCTCCCAATCCCTCTTCTCAAAGAACTTGGAACCCAATAAAAAGCAAACTTTTTATCTGAGAAGGACAATTGTATGTGTACAGACATTCTGTTGTTAATCTTTATAATTTACGATAAATTTTACAGATCGCAAGCGTACTGTTTCATTACTATGGCTTTAGAACTGTTGTGGGATTCTGGGACCCGGGACATTTCCTGGGAACCCCCCCAGTTCCCTGAGTTGGGTGGAGACTGGCAAGGGGCTGACTCTAGTATTGAGAGCGAGAGAGAGAGCGAGAGAGAGAATGGTTCTTAAACAAAGCTCAATTTATTCCATTTGGCACTCTTAAGACATAAAACACTTTGTAGCATATCAAGATTCAACACAGAATATTTCAACTCAATACTTAAAATACTGCAGTTGTATATAAGGGTCAAGAAGCGACAGTTAGAACCAGATATGGAACAACTGATTAGTTTAGCATAGGAAAAGGAGTACAACAAGGATGTCACGCTGGAATTAAGATTGCTGGGGAAAAGATCAACAACCTCAGATATGCAGACGATACCACTCTAATGGCAGAAAGTGAAGAGGACCTAAAGAGTCTCTTGCTCAGGGTAAAAGAGGAGAGCACAAAAGTGGGCTTGAAGCTCAACATCAAAAAAACTAAGATCATGGCATCCGGAACCATCACTCCTTGGCAAATAGAAGGGGAAGTCGTGGAAGTAGTGACAGACTTCACGTTCCTGGGATCCCAGATCATCGCAGACTGTGGCAGCAGCCATGAAATTAAAAGCGCCTGCTCCTTGGGAGGAAAGCGATGGCAAACCTAAACAGCATGATAAAAAGTAGAGACATCACCCTGCCAACAAAAGTCCACATGGTCAAAGCAATGGCATTCCCAGTAGTCATGTATGGCTGCGAGAGTTGGACTATAAGGAAGGCCAAGCGCCGAAGAATAGATTCTTTTGAACTATGGTGCTGGAGAAGACTCTTGAGAGTCCCTTGGACTGCAAAAAGATCAAATCAGTCAATCCTAAAAGAAATCAACCCTGACTGTTCCCTGGAAGGCCAGATAATGAAAATGAAGCTCAAATACTTTGGCCACCAAATGAGAAGGGAGCACTCACTAGAGAAGACCCTGATGCTGGAAAATACTGAGGGTAAAAGAAGAAGGGGACAGCAAAGGATGAGATGGTTAGACAGTGTCATAGATGCAACGAACATGAAATTGAGCAAACGTCAGAGGACGGTGGAAGACAGGAGGGCCTGGCGTGATCTGGTCCATGGGGTCGCGAAAAGTCGGACTTGACTGTGCAACTGAACAACAAAAAATAAAACTCAGAACATTCTGGGCTAGTCACTAAGCTCACAGTCAAGAAGCCTTGACTTGTCCATGGCTTCTCCTCGCTCCGTACTTCTCTGCTCTTATATCCAGACACTGCCCTGTTTCTGACCTTCAGTCTCACCGCCCCCTGCCTCCCCAAGGCCTCCTGCGCTCTGCAACTGCTCCACCCTACCTTTCCGCCCCCTTGTGCCTGGAACTGCTTCCCAAGAACTCCTGCCTCCCACCTTCCTTCAAGACCCTCCTTTTGTTTGGCACAGCTGCTGAGTCCCATTTCCCTATAGAAACTGGAGTGAATGCGGTTTCAGAGGGTCGCCAGGTTTAGTCTGCAGTAGGAGAACTAGATTTGAATCCAGTAGCACCGTGGAGACCTGAAAATCTTGTTGGACTCGATAAGGTGCTACTGGATTCAGATGTAGCTGGAATGAATCTGTGTTCTTCCCATTTATCCCTCCCGCCACCTGCCTCCCCTCCTTTATGGCAAAGGGTAAATTGTAAGTTCCTCAGGGCAGGGACCTGTTTTCCTATACTCTGCGTAGTGCCATTCACATGTATGGTGTTTTTAAAATAAACTGGCAATACTGAAAGGACCCGTGTGTGTCTGTACCTCTGAGCCTACAAAAAGACCGGGAACACTGGCAAATCAGTAGAAGGGAGTAGAAACGCTACGTAGTCCTAAACTGCTCTAAAATAGAAACTTTATTAACAATACTATACTATCAAATGTCTTGAAGACAGTAAATTTAACAATCAATGTTAAAACATAAACATACAGCAAAAAATTGTAAATGAAACCCGGCGGCTCATAACTTTGAGCTACCCACAAAAGGAGCCATGTAGTACAAATAAATGTATGATTGCAGGGACGTTGTGACTGTCTTTGTAAATAATGCGGCTCCAGACTCTGTATGCAGCCCTGGAATCAATAATACACTTTTGTCATGAGACAAGGATTCCGGATGTAACCTTGTTTCAAGATCTTTTTCAATCGTGTCTGTTGTATCAATGTATCGTATCAAAAAAAGGACTATAGCAGTTACATTTGAGTTATCACCTTTGTTGGGAGCCTGTTTATGTGGATCGTTATACACCAGACTCATACCTGGGATAAAACGTTTTCGGTCTTAAACACAAGGTTTAGTTCCCTGTTGGTATTGACTTGAAAGGGCGATTGGAGAGGAGGCAAATGGCAGCATCCCCAGTGCAAACAAAAGAGGGGGGGGAGGAATCACCAGCGCGGGATGAAATTGACATGAGATATAAAGAGAGAGAGAGAGAGAGAGTGGGATGGGAAGCCTAAAGCTTTGAAAACATTTTCACCTTTAATGCTTTCGTGAACAAAGTGTTTTGAGGAGGGAGGAACATTTTTGTAGTCTCCAGAAGCCTAACATTAAAATAGTGGCTGAGCCACATGGATCTTCAGCAAAGTGCTGAACTTAAATGCTTGGGATCGATCCATTAGGAGGAAAGAATGCAATCGGTACAGGAGAGGCTTTAGAAAACTGCCAAGATCACGACCAGTGTGCAGGATGAAATGAGAGAACCACAAAGAGAAAACCACGCAAATTTGCAAGGAAGGGCAGGAAAGTAGTGTTACTCTGCAACTGCACTAGGGCATCAACAAAAATACCCCCAATATATTTTTTTTTATTTAGTGGCACAAGACTAAAAAAGCTCTCCAGAGCTTCTGCCAGAGGATTCCTCCCCCCATACAAATTGCAGCCCTGTGAAAGCATGGTGGAGTTGCAGCTGACTTTGCACAGGTGTGTGCACACACACACGTTGCCAAAGATCACAGCTTGCAATGCCACTGTCCATGGGTTCTACTGTTCATTCTGTACACTCAATGTGTTATCCCATATTATCAGATTGTGTGACTCTCCCATTTTTCACAGTGGCCGATAACACAGCACAGAATCCCCTAGTGCTCAGCAATATGAAAACAGGGTGTGGCAGCTGCTTGTCAGTTTCAAAAAGAGTCTTGTCAGCTTCAACATCGGTTTTCCCCCTTTGCCTACATTCCTTTCTGTTCTCCTTCATTCAAAAAACGAACGCTAAAATGCATGCGCAGAACCTAAACCACAAGGATTTAAATGGAAGGCTCTTGCTGGACATTACTGCACAGCTGTGATAGAGCAACTGCATAAATTATTTTTAAAAACCCTTCGGACACCACCACCCCACATGTCACAAGTGATGTTCCAACCCGATTTAGAAAACTGTGGGGTTTTTTAATTGTAGCTGAAGAATGAATACATCGAAGGGAGGCAGAAAATCTGAAGTCAAGATTAAAGACTTACTGCTCTGAAAATCTGCAGTAAAATGTGTGTGTCAGCTCCTTTGGGCCCACACTGTGAATAAATGAAGTCAGCCTATATTATATGTTATAGGCCCTATAACAAGGCAAAGTTGATACTGGACCAAAAGGAATAATTTCAGAGAAATTACTGATGCTGTTTTCAATAAGAAAGGAGATATATTTTCCACAGATCCTTCTGTAGGAACAGGAAAGACACTTGTTATGAATACAGTTCACAAAAAAGGACAATAGTTCTTTCGATTGCTACATCAGATATTGCTGTAACTCTTTTGGCAAGAGGCAGAACTGCTCATTCAGTATCCAAATGGCCATTAAATGTTGTGGATGCAGACCTCTGGACAATCAAAGCGATGGGCATCCTTGGGTGCATCTCCAGCTCCTTCTCTCCCCTTCCTTCCAGCTTTTTGGAAAAACGAGGGACCTTGAATTTCCCCTTTCCTCTCCTCTTGTGGAGGTGGGACATTGGCATATCTCCAATTCTGGGCCTGGTACCCCTGCGTATCAGAAAATCCAGAGAACGGGGCCAGGCACACACAGGAGATATTTTTCTACCAGCCCTGGCCACCCCCACCCCAAAGATTGCAGAAAAATCCAAGGAAGAAAATTACAAATTTACTATGTTTAGGAAAGACTGAGATCTTGTGAACCCCTGTTGTGAAATCTTGACTTTCAGCTTGGGAAGGGAGGAGCAGCTGCCAGGAGAGCTCGTAGGGGAGGGGAGGAGATGCAAGACCTGCCTCTGTCACCCACCAAGGCCACCACCGTGTGAGCTGGTTAGGTGGCAGAGGAGTTGGAGCAGCCCCCCCCCCAGAATTGAAGGGATGGCAGGGGGGAGGGGGAATGGGAACTGCTGGTGCTGCTGCCCCGTGCCATTGCCCTGTAAGCCAGACAGGTGGAGGCAGCGGCCCCACAAGTGGGGGGGCATGGAAAGGAAGTGGTTTTCCCTCATCACTGCAGCAGTAGATGGTAGCACATTAGGTTGACAGGGTGGCTGTTTAGGGGTCAGCACAGTAAGCACGAAGGTAGGATGGGATTCCTCCCCTGCAAGTCTAATGGGTTCCCTGCTTGTTATCACCAGATCCTCCAGAAATGTAGATGACACATTCATAATACTGTCAATGCCGAGAGCCAGTGCATTACACAGTGTGGTAGACTTGAACTGATGAGGCCTGGGTTCAAATTCCTGCTCAGCTAGAAGATGGCCAGCCTCCATGTGGAGCCTGGAGATCTCCCAGAATTACAACTGATCTCTGGACAACATAAATCAGTTCCCTCGGAGAGAACGGCCCCTTCAGAGGATGAACTCCATGGCGTTTTGCCCCCCCCTTGGTCCCTCCCCTCCCCAAACCCCACCCTCCCCAGCTCTGCACCCTAACTCTCCAGGAGTTTCCCATGCTAAAGTTGCGAACCCTGGCTAAATATGTATCAAAGATGCTAGATATATTCAATCATCATGTCAGTATAGAATTAATCACAAAGTGAAACTGTGACATTATTGTAACAGTAAATACAATTGATATATTATAGTTATATTAATATTAATAGTTGCCGCCCATGTCCCGTTCCGAACAGTTCCCCCCCCCCAAGTCTCCACAGGATGTGCACAAGCGCCCAACGGTGCATGCGCACAAAGAGGCCCCCTCCCACTGCAGCCAGGCTCGCCGCCTCTGGAGGGTCACTATGGCCACTGTTGCGCAGGTGGTTAGAGCAGCTGTGACGAGGGGCCCACCTCCCCCTCCATTGGCTATGCCTCGGAGCTCTGTTGGGGTCCGGAAGCGTCTGTCGCCCTCTCCGGTAAGCCCACCACCCGCCTTTGGATGTGCAGATACGATTGCTTAGTCATGCGTATGCACAAACTTCGGTTTAAAAAAAAACCATCCCGTTTGCCACGAAAGAAGTGCCTAGCGATTGCTGGTGTGATCGCACCACGCCGCTTCTTTGCCGCGCTGCAGGATGGTCGTCTGATCGGCACCTCCCCCCTAACCACGGGACCTCCACCGGATGTCTGATCGTGCAACCTCGCGTTATTTTGCCCCAGGGCAAACAGCCACGCGTCCTCCCCGCATTTTCCAGCCCGTGTGACTGGGGCCCATGTAATGTTTGGAGACCCTCTTTGGGTGGAAAGGCAGTATGGAAATAAGTTAAATAAAATAAAACTAATAAATGTTTGCCAGCTGCAAGGTCATTAGCAGAACTGCTGGTTGAGAACTTTTTGGATAGAACTGTCTGGTTCCCGTGGCCAGTTCTGAGGTAGATGTGCAGTTATCAGGCAAACAAGTGCCTTTTTGAATAGTGACTGACGGGAACCTCCACATTCAGAAGCAATCAGCCTCTGAACCCCAGTGCCAGGTGGCAACATTAGGGGAAGGCCTCAGCCTCTGTGCCCTGTTGTTGGCCCTCCAGAGGAACTGGTTGGCTGCTGCGTGAGAGAGGATGCTGGACTAGATGGATCGCTAGTCTGATCCAGCAGGACTCTTTTAAGGACTTGCCCACCTCAAGGGCGCCATCCTCCTGGGTCTTTGGAGCCACTGAGGGCCCAGGCTTCCAACTCTCCCGGCTTTTTGAAGCCCTTGAGCCTCTGACAGTTAACTATGGAACTGCCTTTGCTCCGCAGTAACTGGGCAACTTAGTTAGGGCCAGAGAGTGGTAGTCAGCACGTTAGCTACAATGCTTGACCTCTAGAACTTATTCATGTACCATGTTTTTAGTTTACCACTATGCTTCAATAAACCATTTACTTTGTATCAGTTAAAATTTGCAGTTTTCCTGCAGACCACAGCCTTTTACCCTCCAGAGTGACAGGACTCTGCTGAACATGTTCCCTTGCCTTAGGCAGGAGGGAAGAAACCAGTTTACTGCTGCTGAGAGCCAGTGACTTGCAGTCCATAGTATGGTGAACCTGGCCTGATGAGGTCTGGGTTGCCATCCTGCCTCAGACATGAAACCCAGGAGCTCTTGGTCTAAGTTACCTCACGGGGGTTTTGTGATGATAAAATGCAAGAGCACACACTTCAGTAGGGATCACCTGACAAAAACAACAGAATGAAGAGGAGAGGCTGTGTGGACAAAAAGGGTTGTCACAGCCTACCCAGCAAGGCCCTATGGAACCCCCCCCAGGCTTCTCCACAGGAGCAGAGAATTGGAGAGGGGGGCAATGCTGGGAATACAGTTCACAGCGTCCTACAGAGATGGGGGGAGGACAGTTCGCTAACAGGAACAGTATGGGGGCAGCCAGCTGCGGAGTGGTTGACTGGCGTGGAGTGTGTCTCTAGGAGCTTTTTGGGGTGGGGCACGTTGTTGCACGATGCCACTTCCGGGAGTAGAACTGGAAGTGACATCACACTGTGGTGTGACATCACTTCCCCCCCCCATTTCTCCTGCTGCTGCACTGGGCAGTGGAGTTGGGGGAGGCGAAGGGCTCCAGGACAGGAGACAGCTACCCGAGGTGGACGGCAGAGGTTGAGAGAGAGACTGCCACAGGCGGCCAGAGAAGCCTCAGTCTGGGATGTGAATGGATCAACTGGGTGGAAGGGCTCAACACCTCCCTCCATCAGCACTGTCCCCCCATTCCTCACCTGCCCCACAGCCACCCTGAACAAAAATGGAAAGAATGGGGGATATCTGACAACAGTTTTCCAAGTATTTCATCCTATTTTCCCTAAAGGAGTAAGGGGGAGGGAAAAGAGCTTTGGGTGGCTGAAAAAGGCCTGCTGGTTTATTTACAGCTCTCCTTTACACCAGACCTGCTATTTAGGATGTAAAATAGGTAAGGATGCCAACCTCCAGGTAGGATCTGGAGTCCCTCCAGAATTGCAACTGATTGCCGGAGTAGAGAGACCAGTTCCCCCGGAGGAAGTGGCCCCTTTTGGGGGGGGGGGTGGATTCTATGGCATCACATCCCTGCTGAGCTCCTCCCCCTCTGCAAACCCACCTAGGGCTGCCAGGGCCCCCCGGGGGGGGGGACTGCCTGCTAAAAGGGCCCCCAAACTGCCGGTCCGGATGTGGCCTGCGGGGGCAACCCCGTGTTGGGCAGTGCGTTTGAAGCAACTTTCCAGCACCACCTGCCACCAGGACTTTCCCAGCCACTCCAGCACTCACTGCAGAGGAGGTTCTGTATTGCACCACACCAAGACAGTCCTGTGGTAAACTATATACAGATTTATTTACAATATATA